GCGAGTGCCACCGATACTCAAAGGTAAGCTTTATAAAGCGGTAGTTAGACCGGCCATGATGTACGGGGCTGAGTGTTGGCCTGTTAAGAACTCTCATATCCAGAAGATGAAAGTAACTGAAATGAGGATGTTGAGGTGGATGTGCGGGCACACTAGGATGGACAAGATTAGGAATGATGATATTCGGGAGAAGGTGCGCGTGGCTCCCATTGATGACAAGATGCGGGAAGCGAGGCTTAGATGGTTCGGGCATATACAGAGGAGAAGCCCAGATGCTCCGGTAAGGAGGTGTGAGTGGCTAGTTGTAGTGGGCATGAGGAGAGGTAGAGGGCGGCCTAAGAAGTATCGGGGAGAGGTGATCAGGCAGGACATGGCGAGGCTTCAGATTTTCGAGGACATGACACTTGATAGGAAGATGTAGAGGTCGAGTATTAGGGTTGTAAGTTAGGAGGTAGTTAGGTCTTGCATTAGTTCGTTCCGTTGCTAAAGTAATCTTGTAGGGTTTTGTCTAGGTAACGGGTGACAATGTCGTGTCTTACTATTTCTTTTTTAGTGCCGGACCTATTTACTAGTTGTCGCTTTTGTTTTGCAGCTTTCTTCTGAATTTTATGTTGTTCCTGTTTTTCTTATATTTTTTATCGTTCCTGTGATAATACTAATATTGTCTCTTTTTGTCTTCTTGAGCCGAGGGTCTTTCGAAAACAGCCTCTCTATCCCTTCGGGTAGGGGTAAAGTCTGCGTACATACTACCCTCCCCAGACCCCACTAGTGGGATTTCACTGGGTTGTTGTTGTTCGTTATTCATATGTCTACGGATTGAACCTGGTGACATTTTTGATTTACCAAGGGTAAATTAGCTTTGCTATTTGCTTCTTCTTCGTCTCCATCCCAAATTTGCTCTCCTAAATCTTTGTTTTTCAGTTATATGTTTCTCAATAAAACTGGATATCTTTACAGGAATCAACTCGACGTAGGTCAATGGCAGCTGACGATACTTTGTCCGAGTGTGCTAGGAAGGGTATAGCTGGTGAGCCTATAGAGTGGATAACTGCTCAACATTGTCGCCTTATTACAGTTGTTGCAAAACCTAATCTGCATTTGTTTCTGGTTCTCTTTTTCGGGGAATATTTCAGTAAAACCACGGAAAGGAGATGCACTTCTTTTTTTCAGTCTCCATCCAAATGCCGTTCCTGATCCTATGAGCCTCCACGGTGGGTGCCCTGTTATTGAGGGTGAGAAGTGGTCAGCGACAAAGTGGATTCACGTGGATTCATTTGACAAAATCGTGGGATCTGAAAAAAGTTGTGCTGATCAAAACGAGAATTGTGAGAGATGGGCCGCACTTGGGGAATGCACCAAGAATCCAGAATACATGGTTGGAAGTTCAGATCTTCCAGGAAGCTGTAGGAAGAGCTGCAAAGCTTGTTAACTTATTATACTTAATTCTTCCACTAAATCAGTTCAGAAATAGTAACATGTTGTTCCTTATTGTTCTTGCAATCTACCCAGTTTTGCAAATAACATCCTATTTTCTTTTTCTTCTATAGAGCGAAGTTCGTTTTTTCTCTCTCACTCAAACATATGTATACTGCCTTTATGTACACATTAGTTAACTGTTATGTACCAACTTCGATTTGGTCTTTCACTGAGAATGTAATATCTGATAACAAATTATAGTCTGTTTGTGCACTAATTTTATGATGGTTATTTTGTGAAATGATATGTAATGATTGGTCATTAAGGTGCATACACTAGTTAAATTGAGTTGACACAATGATATGCCCGGATTAAGATGTTAATGGATTTTTTATTGCCAAAGCATAATAGAGATAAGAAAAGGGACAACTTCAATTTTTATGTAACATCTTTTTCATGTACTATCTCATGCTTGGTATCAACATTTTTTTTGGAATTGACTTTTAAGTAATTTGAATGTGAATATTTTTACATCGTGAATAGATAATACTTATGCTCTTGCACTTAACCCTTGGATGGTGACACTCTCAGATAATGAGCAAACGTATGCATCAAGTATTAAATTTGTTCCATTTTTTGTTTCTCGTCTCCATCTATATCACATTTTAACATGATTTATGCACTAAACAGATATCATTACAAATGTTGGTGGAGCAGAATGAGATTCCCATCACATCACAGATGGAACCAAAAATTGNTTACTGTGCTTTATGGCTAGATATACCAACTCAGGTCAGCCATTCTTTTTGTGGTTTCTTTTCCGCTTTTTCTTGGTTCTGAATTATGGACCATCTCCAAAAAAAAAAATGGAAGATGGCTAACAAGATTAACATATGATTGTTTTCTTTTTCTTTTTTTCTTCAAATATGATTTTGAAACCATCTTTCCTTTTTTTTTTTTTTTTTTTTTTTTTTTTTTTTTTTTTGTTTTGTTTTTTTTTTTTAAAGAAAAAGGTAGAAAAGGAGAAAAGAAAGCGCACTGCTACGCCATCTCTATCTCATATCATTCATGCATCCATTAGAAATTTTAAATAATAATTATTATTATCTGTCTAAAGCGATAAAAGTTTTTAAAATATTCTTGCAGCAGTTGCGTTGTCACGTTATTTAGTAGAGTAATAACAAAAGATTACATTTAATAAATTTAGAATAATAGTAGAGAAGATCAAGCAGAGATCCTTAAGCAGACTCCTTAAAAACGACTCTTGACTGACTTTTGGTAGTATTAGAATAGATGCAATTGAATTAAGAATAGCAACTATTTTTCTTAAAATAAATTGGAGCATCAATGATGTCATAAGAGATCATTTTCTCTTATGATCTCAATAGAAACAAAAAAAATATTAAATCATTTTCTTCTATCTGCTTAAATTTTGTTGGCAAAATTGGTGCGCGTAAACTCACACAAGACATTTTATAAGGTAAAATTGGTTTATAACATATGGACGAATGGTAGCATGGCATGTGGAACCAAAGGTAAGAAAAAAGTAAGTCAGGTAACGATCAATACCGGACACAACGAATATAATCGATATCGAGTAAATCTCGAAGGGAGCATATTTAACGGGAGGAGATCAAGGGTTTGCCATCGGATAGCATTCAATGAGGGAATATTCTCTCACATTATATGAGCGACCGGTGCAGAGAATATTTGCATTCATGACCTGCCGCTACATATTCAACAATGATTCTTTTATTATCATTTAAGAGGAGCTTGATCTTAGGATCTTGTTTCCCTAGGTAAAGCTATAAATAGCAGGTTCAGTAGCCATTGCAAGGGGAGGAAGTTCTTTGCAAACATATGCTGTATTTTACTTTTGCTCTCAATTAAACAACTTCACTTGTTCTATATCATTGCTTTCACTTTTGTCCTAGGAGGCATTGCACTCGGAGCCATGCTTGTCATCTTCTTCAATTTCAATTGCTAAATCTCATTTTTAATCTTATCTTCTTATCATTTTTGGATCAAATCAATTCGCTTGTCTATAAACCACGTAACAAATTTAACTGTATCGTGTTACAGGTAAACAGTTTGGCGCTCACTGTGGGGCTTAGACAATTACGTAATTGCTTTGATCCTTACGTTTATTACTAACTTGTTTGGATTCTTTCCTTAGCAAAAAAAAAAAGAAGAAAGATATGGCAGCTAATGATGTTAACATCACGCACAATGCAGATGGGCACAAAGAATTGTCCCAACATGATGATTCACTCAGCGACACCCGTAACGAGGGTGATAAAACAACCCCATTTCGTGAAGAATGGTAACCTCGGTATGTGCAGGAGATAACTCCCGATGATGCGTAGGAGGAACATGTCGTGAAAACAGTAAAAATCTTAAGAGAACAGCAAAAAGCAATCATGAAACACCTCTCAAGGAAGGATCGGGTGATGACGGAGTTGAAACAAGCTTTATCAGGCCCCTCCAATAACGCGAACGAAAGGGGCCCGACTCCTCCCAATGCTCCTGCAAACCAAATGGCTTAGAGGGTCGACAACAACACCCCTAAAAGGCGAGGATGGTTTTGACGAAACCGGACATTTGGAATGATCCTTTCAAAACCAAGATCATGAGGTTTATGAGGGAAATGAACGAACGAATAGATCAAAATGCAAAGGAGTTTCACACTCGGATGGATCAAATTCCGGGCTCACCACCAATACTAAAAGCCCGGATTGGAAAAAATACATACAATTGCCGTTTAAACTGAGCGCAGCTCCAGAGTTAATTCCGAAGTGGTTCAAGATGCCGGACATACCAAATACGACAGGACTTTGGATCCGCAGGAGCATATCACAACCTACACCATAACTGTGAAAAGGAACGATTTGGCTCAGCATGAGATCAGATCGGTCTTACTGAAGAAGTTTGGTGAAACCCTCACAAAGGGGGCCCCGACACGGTATTCTCTCTTACCCGAGAATTCAATTGACCCTTTTGAGATGCTTGCATATTCATTCATTAAGGCCCATGTCGGGTAAGGAAAGTCCAAGCCAGGAAGGCGGACATATTCAGGATTGCGCAAGGTGAGTTCGAGCTGCTACAAGAATTCGTGATCTGGTTCCAGAAAGAGAGGATGCTGCTACCGGTTGTACCTAATGAGTGGGCAGTGGAGGCGTTCACAAAGGGTTTGAATCCATGGAGCTCCGACGCCTCCCGAAAGCTGAAGGAAAGCCTGCTCGAATTCCAAGCAACCACATGGGCGGATGTCCATACCTGTTATGAGTCAAAAATAAGGATAGAGGACGATCAACTCGGGTTCCTAGTATCAAACAAGGGATGAGATCGAGAAAAAAACTAGGATAAAGTTAAAAACGACTTTTATGCGGATCGACGGTCTTCTAGAGGTCATTTTTTGCCATATGAAAGAACCAAAGGTCGGAATAACAAAGGGTTTCGGTCATTGGATAGGTCCTCTTCTGATAGTAGAACTGATCAGGACCGTAGCAGTAGATCGTTACAAAAGAAGGAGATACAGGGGGTCCGAGACCCTGTATATCCCAGGTTATCATATTACGCCTTCAACATCAGTTTAGTAGAGTTGGCATCAGTGATGAGGAATATCAAAGAAGCACGGTTCCCGAAGCCAATTCGCTCCGATCCTAGCTAGAGGGATCCTAATATGTGGTGTGAATATCATGAGACTCACGACCATAGAGCTGGGGACTGTCGGCATCTACGTGAAGAGGTGGCAACATTTTTGAAGAATGGCCATCTCAGGGAATTCTTAAGTGACTGAGCCAAGAACAACTATAGCCGAAGCCGGGACAATGCCGAGCCTTCGAAGGTAGCAGAGGGCTCCCCTTGGTTGACTATCAACATGATTTTTGGAGGGAATGAAGTTAACAGTGTAACCTTCTCAAGTGCCAAGAAAACAAAGATATCAGTGACTCACAACAACAGACTCCGGGAAGTCGCGAAAGATGATATCACCTTCACGGAGGAAGATGATGACAAACTCCTCTTTCCATACAACAACACTTTGGTAATCTCTGTCAATGTTTTAGATTTCAAAATTAAACGTGTTTCGGTTGTTCCAGGAAGATCGGCCAACATCATCCAATGGAGAGTGTTGTTGCAATCGAAGCTGACCGGAAGCATCATTCCAATGACAAAACTCTTAGCTGGATTCAACTTGACAAGTGTGCCAACCCGAGGAGAGATTTTACCGCCCACAAACACCGAAGGATTTATCAAAACCACTCAATTTGAAGTGGTAAATGGCGATATGGGTTACAATGTAATCCTCGAAAGGCTGTGGATACACGAGATGAAGGTTGTGCCCTTAACATATCATCAATTGTTGAAATTCCCAACCTCAGAAGGAATCAAGCAGATAAGAGGAGATCAAACAGCGGCAAGGGAAATGAATGCGGTAACTATTTCCAGCAGCAAGGGAAAAGAGTCGAATAAATAGCAATTACAGGAGCCGATGCCTTCTCCATTTCTGAATGAAGACGATAAGAGCGAGGAGTCATTGGAATCCTATCAAGTTCCGAGATATTTTCAGGTACCTGAGGAGATGGATGGGACCAAGTCAACCGTAGAGGAACTGGGGCAAGTGGCCTTATCTGAAGAGTTCTTTGAGAGGAAGTTTCACATGGGGACATGATTAAACCCCGAGCTCAGGTTAGGGTCTATAAATTTTCTTAAAGATAACGTTGACGATTTTGCGTGGTTGCACTCGGATATGACAGGTATCCCATTAGAGGTGGTCGTGCACAAGCAAAGCCTTGATCCAAACTTCCCACCGGTAAGGCAAAAGAAATGCCTGATAGCGGAGGTCAGGAACAAGTTTATTAAAGAAGAGGTAACCCGATTACTCAATATTGGTTCAATCCGGGAGGTAAAATATCCAGAATGGCTTGCCAACGTAGTTGTAGTACCAAAAAAGAATAACAAGTTTAGAATGTGCGTAAACTACAAGGATTTAAATAAAGCATGACCTAAAGATTAGTTTCCATTGCCAAACATTGATAAAATGATTGATGCTACAGCCGGACACGAGTTAATTAGTTTCCTTGATACTTACTTTGGGTAAAATCAAATCAAGATGAACCTGGAGGATCAGGAAAAAACTTCTTTCATAACGAACTTTGGCACATATTTATATAATGTGATGTCATTTGGGCTTAAGAATGCCGGAGCCACTTATCAGAGGCTCGTTAATAAAATATTTTAAAATCATATAGGCAAAACAATGGAGGTATACATTGATGACATGTTAGTCAAGTCTTTAAA